ACAAGCCAGCAAGCCACTGGCAGCCAGCCCTCCACTGCTCCCCAGGAGCAGTCTGCCAGCTCCCAAGAGCCTGCCAGGTCCCGGAGAAGGCAGGCGCCTTCCTAGTACAGGGTGGAGATCATTGACATTATTCAGGTTTGGTGGGGATGCCCCCAACGTCCATGATCTCTGTACTAGTTGGAGGAACACTGTCGTCTATGGCAGGATAGTTGCCAGCCTAGCCACCAAAGGCCACATGCAAACCCAGGAGGAGGTTTGCCTGACAATCAAATTGGTCCGGCGAGCCCCTGAACCCTGAGCTTCCCCGCACCCTTTTCCCCCTGGCTTCCCCCTTCCGGCTCCCTCCTCCCAGGTTTCCCCCTCCCCTCTCCTGCCTCCCTTCCCCAGTCTCACCAGAGGTTCATTCCCTCCCCCCCAGTTTTGTTAAATAACTAAAGAGGGTTTGACATCAGGAAGGGGGGTTAGGGAGGGGTGTGTTCATGAACATATGTGTATTTTAAGTGGAAGGATGTGAGGGAGGAATGAGGCACACACCCCCAGTGGGGCAGTCCACTCAGTGTGGACGCGCTATTTTGAAATGAAATCTTAACGCATTTCAAAATGCATTTCAAAATACACTACAGTGTTATTTTGAAATATTTCAAAATAGTAAAAAGCTTAGACACACCCTCAGGGTGTGTCTACACTGTACAGTTGTTCTGCCAGAATAATGTCCCTTATGCCAGAAAAACAATAGCATCCACAAAGCAATTGCGATATTTCAAAAGAAAATTGGTAAATCTCATTCCATGAGGAATGAAACAATGGAGGGCTTAATGTTGGAAAAACGCCTCTGTTGAAAAAGCTTTTTCAACAGCGGGTGAGCGTGTGGATGCTCCACTGCTGCTATGTCAAAATAGCGCCTCATTCTAAAGTTAGTCCTTCCCACTGCATCCTGGGGCGCTAAATTGAGAGAGCTAATGTGGATGTGCTAATTTTTCAGCTTCCTGATAGAGTGTTCACACTCTCTCAGACTATCTTCTGGAAAAGCTAATTTCCCACCTGCTCAACCTGCACCCCCTTCCCCCACCTCCCAGT